TGCTATTGTGAATAGTATCATTTTCATAATTTCTCAGTTTATTATTGCTCATAGAGCAGTGAAGCTAGAATTCAGTGGCAAAAGAAACAACAGAAACTGTGCAAACACATCGAAATTAAACAGTAACCCCTTCAAAAATCAATGAGGCACAGAAAAAATCAAGGAAGAAATAAGTTCCTAGAATCGAGTGAAAACTAGAGTACACCATACCGGAACTTAGGCGACACAATGAAAGCAGTCTATATTGGTCTGTAAGAGTGCTGTTGATTTTTGTGTTTTGATTTTGTATCCTGCTACAATTCTGAATTTGGTTACTTATTCTAAGAGTCTTTTGGTGGAATTTTTTTGTGTCTTCTATGTTCAAGATCATGTCTGTCATGTCAAGATCTACAAATAATCATAATTTAACTTCTTGCTTTCCTACCCATGTCCCTTTTGTTTCTTTCTCTTGCCTGATTGCTCTGCTGACTAATGTTTCAAGAACTATATTGAAAAGGTGTGGTGATAACAAATATCCTTATCTTGTTCCTGATTTTATTTATCTGTTTTTTTCCCCTCGTACCGGGGATTGAACTCAGGACCTTGTGCTTGCCAAGCAGGCAGTGCCACTGAGCTGCGACCCCAGCCCCTTGTTCCTGATTTTAGAGGGAAAGCTTTCAGCTCCTCCCCGTTTGATATGATATTGACCTTTGGTTTGTCATAAATGGTTTTCATTAGATTGAGATAAAGTCTTTCTGTACCTATTTTCTTCCGGGTTTTTATCACAAATGGATGTTGAATTTTGTCAAAGGCTTTTTCTGAGTCTGTTAAGATGATCATGTGATTTTTGTCCTGCTTTGCATAGGTTGAACTATCCTTACATCCCTAGAATTAATTCTACTCAGTCATGATATAAGACCTGTTTGATGACTTGTTGCATTCTGTTTGCCAGTATCTTATTGAAGATTTTTGCATGTGTGTTCATTAAAGAGATTCGTCTGTAATGCTCTTTTTTGGTGCGTCCTTTTCTGATTTTGAGATCAGAGTAATGCCAGCTTCCAAGAATGACTTTGGGAGTACTCCTTCCCGATTTCATTAAAGAATTTGAGGAGTTTTGGTGTTAGATCTTCTCTAAAGTTCTTGTGGAGTTCAGCAGTAAATCTTTTGGGTTGTGGGCTTTTCTTAGTTTGTATTTTTTTTAAATTAGTATTTCTTCAGTTTCATTGCCTGATACTACATTATTCAGGATTTTCATGTCTAATCTTGGTTCAGCTGTGGTAATTCAAATGTATCTAGGAATCTCTTTCTTCTGAACTCTCCATTTCATTAGAGGACAGATTCTCAAAGTTGTTACTAATGATCTGGTTTCAGCAGAATCCATTGTGATTTTGCCTTTCTTATTTCTAATTGCATTGATTGGGTCTTTTTTTGGTAAGATTGGCTGGGGATTTGTCAGTTCTATTGATTCTTTTAGAAAACCAACTCCAATTCATTGATTCTTTGTATTAATTTTCATCTCTATTTCATAGAATTTCTGCTCTGATCTTCATGATTTTTTTCCTTGTACTAGTTTTAGATTTAGATTATTCATATTTTTGTAGAACCTTAAGGTGCTTCATAAGGTTATTTAAGCATGCTCTATTTTTCTGATGTGGGCATTCACAGCTATGAGCTTTCCTCTTAAGACTGCTTTCATTGTGCCACCTAGGTTCCAGTATGGTGTACTCTATTTTCATTTGATTCTAGGAAATTATTTCTTCCTTGATTTCTTCTATGCCCCATTTTTTTTCCTGGTACCCAGGATCGAACTCAGTTCCTTGCACTTGTGAGGCAGGCACGGTGCCACTGAGCTAAATCCCCGGCCCTAGTGCCCCATTAATCTTGGAAGAGGTTATTGTTTAATTTCTGTGTGTTTGCATAGTTTCTGTGGTTTCTTTTGCCATTGAATTCTAGTTTCACTGCTCTATGATCTGTTATTATGCATGGGATAATTTCAATTCTTTTGCG